AAAAAAGGGGCGCCCCCTGCCGTACCAACATGGAAGGCGGAGAGAGATGCCACATGGACTTTAATAGAAGAAAAGGACAGGCCACTAGAATGGAGTTGAAAGAGATAGTCGAGAATAGTTGGAATAGGGGCCAAAGATGGGTGTACTCCTCTCCGGGACGCCCAAGACAGGTGCCAGAGACGAAGGGCCTCCTTGCATAGGGGTGGCGAGCACGCCCCACCCTGCTTGTTGAGGTAGAAAACCGCTGCAGTGTTGTCCATACGCACCAGGATGGAGCGGTGGGAGAGCCTCGGCAGGAACGCTTCGCAGGCCCTCCTCACCACCCACAGTTCCCGGACGTTGATGTGCAGGGACCGTTCAGAAAGGGACCAGAGGCCCTGAGTTCTGTGGCACCCAAGGTGTGCACCCCATCCCAGGTCGGACGCATCGGTGACCAGCGTCAGCGAGGGGAGAGGGGCGTTGAAGGGAACCCAGCTGCGCACCACGGATTCCTGGGTCCACCAGAGTAGGGAGTCCAGAATGTCCGGGGGCACTGATACTATGGAGTCCCATAGACCCTTGGACTGGCAGAAGGCCTTCACCAACCACGCCTGCAGGGGTCTCATCCTCATCCTGGCATGTCGCACCGTGTAAGTGCATGCCGCCATATGGCCCAGGAGCCTGGAGCAGACCCGAGGAGTCGTGATGGGGGACCGGGTTAGTTCTGAAATCAGCTCCACTATGGAGAGGAACCTGCTGTGGGGCAGGAACGCTCTTGTCACCTTCGCATTGAGGAGGGCTCCCACAAACTCTATGCTCTGGGAGGGGGTCAGGGATGACTTCTCGACATTTATCATGAGCCCTAACCTTAGGAAGAGAGCTCTTATGAGTGATACGTGAGCTTCTACCTGCTCGTACGAGCGACCTCGGATTAACCAATCGTCGAGGTACAGGAACACATGTACCCCTCGATTGCGCAGAAAGGCGGCAACCACAGCCATACATTTTGTGAATACCCTTGGTGCAGTACATAACCCGAAGGGGAGTACCGTAAACTGAAAATGATAACGGCCCACCATAAACCGGAGGAACCTCCTGTGACTGGGGCTGATAGCCACATGGAAGTAGGCGTCCTTTAGATCGAGAGTCACGTACCAGTCGCCCATTTGTAGCACTGGGATGACCGAGACTAAAGTTACCATTCTGAACTTGTGCTTTACCACCGCCTTGTTTAAGTACTGAAGGTCCAGGATAGGACGAACTCCCCCTTTTGGTTTTGGGACGACAAAATAACGGGAGTAGAACCCCTTGCCCCGCAGATGTGGGGGAACCCTTTTTATTGCTCCTTTTTCGAGGAGTGCACCCACTTCCTGAAATAGGATGTATTTGTGAGGGGTGTCCCTTAATAGGGACAGAGTAGGGGGTTTTGAAGGCGGTGGGCCCAGGAACGGGATAGAATAGCCCGTATGTACAATGTTCAGGACCCAGGCATCTGATGTTATTCGGGCCCATGCCTGGGCAAAACGGAAAAGCTGGGCCCCAAATGGGGGGCCAGGGTGGCAGACTGGTACGGGACTCTCGAACACCACGGCAAAATTGAGGCTTGCCCTGATTGGAAGGGCCTTGGGGACCTGCCCGCTGGGAATCTGACCTGGGGCGACGATGTCGACCCCTAGGTCCTTGAGGGTGCGCAGCCCACGGGGGACCTGGGGCTGCGCTCTACCCTGCTGCCTAAACGGCAGTTGTCGCCGCTGCATGGCTGGCGTGTGTATGCCTAAGGACTTC